AATAGAAGAAGCTTCCGCTTAACAGGCTTCCGTGTCTAGTCGCAGGGAATCACCGAATCCTCCAGGCAGGAACCTAGGTATGTTAACAATAAAAGAGGAAAAGAAATTGGTAAATCATAGTGTGATGCTGTCCTTGGTCCTTAAGAATAGGTCAAGTTGCCTCTTGAAGGACTCCTGAGAAGTCACTTGAACTAGCTCGGCCGGCAGCGAATTTCAGCTTTTGACAACTCTTAAGGAGTAGAAGTTGTGTCTACATTCCGTCTTGCTATGTTGTGTTTCCAGCTTCTGGGTGTTACCCCTTAGGTTATTATTCGAACTAAGCTTAAGTAGGTGTTTAAGAGGATGTCCAGAAGTGTTAAGAATACTATAAGCCATTAATAAATCACCTTTAAGACGCCTATACTCTAATGGGTAAAGGTCTAGTGAATGGAGGCTTTTTTCGTAAGGTTTAAATTTGAGTCCTCGAACTGATTTCGTGGCTCGCCGTTGGATACGCTCCAAAGTGACCTTATCCTTTTGGAGTGAGGGTGGGAGTACTATGTTTCCGTACCCTAAATGATGACGGATGAAACTATTGAAGATTGTATGGAACGTTCGTCCGTCAAACTGTCCAAAGAATGCGCTTCAACGTTACCAGTGCAAGGTTTGCTCGGAAGGCATTTTTGTCACAGTTAGCGTAGGACTTCAAATCATGGGGCATCAGGACTCCTAAATCTTTTTCGACTTGGGATACTACTAGAGAGGAGTTTCCTAAGTTGTAACTGTAGTCTGCGACATGTCGCAGATGGACTACTTTACACTTTGAAGTGTTAAAGGTAAGTCCGTTATCGTCTGCCCAACTTTGAAATCGAGTCAGATCCTCCTGAAGTGCCTGTATATCGTCTTGGTTGCGTATATCTCTCCAAAGTTTCACGTCGTCAGCAAAAAGTAATAAGTCTGACGTTACCTGTTGAGGAAGATCGTTTATGTAGATCAAGAAGAGAAGAGGCCCTAGTACTGAGCCCTGGGGGACCCCACTAGGACATTCCATAGCCTGAGATAAAGTGTAATTAACTCTAACCTTAAAGTGTCGATTTTTTAGGTATGAAGTAAGCCAATTGATAAGAGGTGGTTTGATACCTAGTTGTTTGAGCTTATTGATAAGACACAAGTGGTTAACCTTATCAAAAGCTTTTGAGAAATCAAGGTAAGTGATATCAACCTTTCCCTTGCGATCGAGGATGCTTGTCCATCTGTCCACCGCAGTCAGCAGGTTGGTTATACAAGAGTAACCCTTCCTGAAACCATGCTGTTGGGGTGAGAAGAAATTTAAGGACAGTAGATAGTCATTTAAATCGTCGCATATCAGGGACTCCATGAGTTTTGAAGGTAATGACAGAAGAGCCACCGGCCGATAACTTGAAGGTTCATTGCGTCGACCACCTTTGAAAATTGGTGTTATGTGAGCCAACTTCCAATTTTCCGGTAATTTGCCTTGGCTTAGCGAGTGTGAAAACATCACGCTAAGCGGCGTTGCCAGGATTGAGGCTGCCTCCCTCAGTATGGCAGGATGAACCATATCCGGGCCAGGAGAAGTATCTAGTCTTAAGTGCTGCAATTTACGGAACACCGAGTCAGCGCTTAGGTTCACTTCGGAGAGTCCTGTGGAATTGCAGATGAAACAGTCGTCAGTAAAGTTGATGTCAGCCGGTTGAAATGTTTGAGAGTAATGTGCCGCCAGAAGGTTAGCGGCGTCGCCATCGTTGTTGGTCGGGCCGTTAAGACCTAGCAGTTCAGAAACCCCTGTTTTGGCTTGACGAAGAGAGGCTGCATAACGGAATAGGCTTCTAGGGTTAGAGGCAAATTTGTCCATAAGCTTTGTCTGGTAATGAAGCCTGTCTTCTCTTATAGCCTTCGTGCTTATGTTCCTGATATGTTTATATTGTCTATACGCCCCGTCGTTATCGGTTCGTTTGTATTCCGCCCAACAGTGCCTTTTGCGGCTTAGCAGGCGAAAGGTACGGTTCTTGATTACTGTAGGTGGCTTGCAGCTTTTGGGAACCGTTTGAGGAACTGAATGGTTTGTAGCACATAAGAGCGTGTGCAGTAAGAAGTCCCAGTGACCGTCCACATCGAGTTGAGGGTGAATATCCCAAACCACCTGTTGCAGATAGTCATGTAGAGCTGGCACATTCAGCCGTCTAAAAATCCAACGCAAATTATTGTTGGGATACCTTAGCTTAGTTTTGATGACAAAACTGAGGCGATGACGGCATGATCGCTCTTTCCCAGAGGAGCCAGGATTGAGAGGTTGTCAACTAGAAACTCTTCGTTTGTGAATACACAGTCTAAGCGCGATGGTGTCTGACTGTTTCTCCAACGAGTTGTCGACCTCACATTTTCATATAAGCCCAAGTTATCGATGATGTTGAAGAACCGAGCTTCATTTGAGTTGTCGCCCCCAGTGTACGTGTGTTCCGCGAAGTTGACTCTAGGGAGATTAAAGTCCCCTAGAATCAGGATGTGTGTGAAACCGAGACGGGTAGAGCGGGATAGTGCTTCCAGCATACGATTATCGTACTCAGTGTCGGCAGTTGGCTTCCTGTACATGACTCCGACTAAACACCTCAAAGTACTTGACAATCTAACAGAGCACCATATGGATTCCTCAAGATTGTTAAACTCCAGGTTGTGAACTTGGTGCACCTCCAAGCAAGAGCTTATGTACTTGAACTTCACTTTGCTGAAGTTAGTCGAAAATAAGCTTCCCGTTTTAATATAATCTTCGAGCGGTGCACTGAGTTTAACCATATTCGACGAATTGACCACCAATTCATGAATATAGCGCGTGCAACACTGTACTAGTTCCTCCACCGTTCCTCCACGGGTTATAGTCGACGTGAAGTATAAAAAACTGCTTGTGAATGATGCATCTTTGAAAGGTGCATATGGAAACTTGAACTAATAGTTTTAATAACAGTGTTGAAAGCAAATGCATGTTTATTAGATAGATCAAGACTGAGAGTTTTTTCGCTCTCTCCACTTTTAATAAAAGCACGAGAAAATACAGAGCATTATAATAAGACAACAGAGACCGCGGACGGTTATTTTTGCATTGATCTACAGAGTATTCTGAGATCTTTAATGTTCCTCCGAAACGTAATTATATCCTTCGTTTCTTATTCTTACATCCTAGTAAATGCTGCCTAATGAGTTGTTCGTCTGTCAGTGCTACGATTTCTTACTGACAGAAATTTTCATAAATGTTTCTCAGCTCGAAAACTAAGGATAAGCATTCTCTCAATTTCGAACAGTTTTACGTAGAACTTTAGCTTAAAAATTGCGCAACATTAGGTGCACTAACATAAAGTATATATGAAACATAGCCAGTGATGCTAAGCTAAATGGAACTCCAACTGTTTCAGTATAAAAACACAAACATAGGTGGTGTTAATTAGTGTGTATATACTAGTCCAGTTTATATTATAGAGGACGTCTTGTGAAAAATTCACAAATGTGCATTCACAATTTTTTCGTTAGAACCTAATGTTTACAGTTACTGTTAAAACAAGAACGATATAACGCCTTTCTAATCTGATTTCATATTCAGACATCATTAGTTGGTTGTCTAAGGTTACTGGTTTGGACTACTTGTCACATCTTTTTACATGTACTAATAACTTCACTGACGATTCGTTTTGTAAGCATTTGACATCTCTTCCTTAAAAAATTACCTGTTTCCATTTTATGCCTCTGATGAGCTTAATTGGTGTTGAATATGTGTACATAAATGGTCATTTTGTCACGATCGTTATAGACAGATGTACGTGGAACCTAAGGACTTGGTGAGTTGGGGAAATTTTTGTCAAAATATTCCGCGTTGTTGAATACAAATATTACTTGTTTGGTGAAATTATTCAGGATGGCACAGTGGACGTTCTGTCAAGTGGTTGAATTTTCGTCGCCAATATGCTGAATCAGCAAGTTTCGTAACGAATATGCAGCGAATTCAGTGACCTGTATTAATCCTGAAATAGTCCTCATTCGTGTGGCTCGATATCTTTTTTAACATCTCGACAAGCGCCATACAAGTGCGTTGAAGTGTAGGGCTTAATTATAGAAACGATAGTCAATGACAAAATTATTCAGACCTAGGCTTTTAAAAGTTTTTGTAATGCACCCATAAATTCCTCGTAGAAGCAAGAGTTTCAGGAGAAATGATGATTTGTATGGAGACTGTGAATAAGCAATTTCTAATCTCTTTGTATGAAAAATAGAATAACTTCAGTTTGGATGGACCTCAATATGTGATCGATTTGGTTAAAAATGTCTCACTAGTCACATGCTGAGTTAATAAAAATTAATTAAAAGCTAAGGTGACTTTGTGATCAGTGTATGCCGTTATAAAATTAGAGAAATTTATCGGAGGTCACTAAATATCAGCCCATTTAATCAGTGTTTTCGAAGCTCCACACTATTCCGTTCGCCCAGTTTTGCTGCTTGTATACCCATATCTTCTGCATACTACAAAACTGAGGATGACCGATAACTAAGATCATTAATTCAGAAGAAAAATAATCATATTCCAAAGTCTTCACACCATAGTACTTAATCAGACTCTGCTTACAAGACAGACAACCTAGTTCATCAAAATCTTTGATATTCATTTGCTTTAGATAATAATCCCGTGTTTATGAGATTATATGGCATCTAGGTAAATTCGACGGAGTCATGTTCCTTGTTACTGCATGGTCGTTCTTATCAAACTAGCTATTACGTCCTGTTGATAAACTTGATACATTATTAATCTCTAAACTTATTTTGTTATTCTGGGAAAACCATATATTTTAAGGTGAATAATAGTAAAATTCCTGACGTAAAAATCACTTAACCAAGAGTTTTCCTGTGCACAGGAACACCGAAAACATGTATTACTTCTTTTACTTTGTTTTGAAGAGCCTTTGTTTATGCACACGAGAGACAAAGGTCAATCGATGTAATATTCACGCGCGCAAACTTCACGGTGAAGGTTGTTTGTTAGGTTGTCGTACATTTGCCACTGCCGATTTTATGAGTTTGTTGCACAGAATAGCCTAATTGTGCAACTTGGCAATGAAAACAATTTGGATTCAAAATCTTTTCTGAAATTAGACTATGGGTGTGTTGGATTCAAGCCGAAGTGTTGATAGGTGTTTAGCTCTTACAGTAGTATTTGGTTGTCTAATCCTTAATCACGCTACTGGTCTCATTTTGTGACACATTCCAGAAAGATATGTTTAAAGTCTTCGTAGTCTGGTACTATACTTTGGAGAGTTCACTTAATACATCACATCTGAAAGTTTCATGTCACCTCAGTAGATTGCCAACCTGAAGTCAAGCTTGAAGTATTAGCTGCCCTTCGTGATTCTGTAAGAGGTGTCAGGCACTTTGACGTAGAATGATTATCCTAAACGAATATAATCTGATCGCGGTTCGGGTTTTCATAAGATTGCTTGGTGAGACTATAATTTATGGATGATATCGGAGCGACGCTAGACTAACCTTGAGAGTGTCCGCTTACATACTAGGGCTAAATGAGGGTTATAAAGCAATTTAAGGAATAGGGATTATGATTTACAGTTGATGGTTTAGGGCAGGAATTAGATGTAGGGTTTTCGTCACGAATTGACATCAGCTATACTGCCAAAACTCTATTTAGCCAAATGGGTGAGTGAATTTCGCGCCAAAATCTATGACTTGTTATCGTAAATCTGATTGATTCGTCCTTAAATTATAGTCTCGCTAATAACATAATTAGCCGCTCACCGATTGGGACAACACTTAGTACATAGGTTTAACTTCACAAACAAGGATATCTTCTTAGGACCTATTGCAGTTTCTGAAGAGTTGCGATCACCCATTGGAACGTGTGCCTTTTAAAGACTGATAGTTGCGTAGATATGCTGAATGTTTGGCTTTGGAAATGGAGAGGCAACTAAAAATGCTAGTCGGTTGATGAAATACTTGACTACTGTCACATCGATTTAGTACTAAAATGTATATACAAGCTCATGTTTTTGTAATGCTAACAGTTGTTCTATTAGTCTTATTATCAACGAATTGGGCTCCATGTAACATATTCCCATACAAACAACCTGGAGGGAAGCGCGTCTAGATTGTTACTACGAAGACTAGTCCATCGCTTGTAGCTTAAAGTGGGTTGCCTTTAGGCGTTTACTACATTTAGTGTGGTTCATCAGTGCCTCATAGCCTATGTTTGCCAAATATTTCTATGATTATAATTCATACACACCGAACGATATATCTTTCCAAAAACCTTCTAGCCTTGTTAAGTAAAACGCTTCTATGTGCTAAAACCTCCGAGTACTTTAGACTGTTCATCATACATTTTACTACTGCTTCCTATCTATTCTAAATTGTAGAAACTCGGAACAATAAATACTTATTTTTTATCACAATGTTTCTTTATAGCTGAGTTGATTTAAAATAGTGACTACTTGCCCTTCTACACTGATCATATGAACCGGCCAGCTTATAAAACCTCAGTATATCCATGCATATATAGTGCAGACAAGGTACAGTTGGTTAGCAACTGTCTACTCAGTTGCTGTGAGACATTCTTAAAGGATCGAATAATTAGGCATTACATCATGTCATCAAAACAATGCTAGTGTGCTCTGGAACCACTAAATAGAGTGTCGGAATAAAGCCTAGAGAGTTTACAAAGCTTCCTATCAATCGGCTTTTTTTTTCTGCTTCACGTATGCTGATTGTCGCTGGTCGGCAACAAATGTAGAAACTATTTTATTAGCACCCATACTACAAAGATTCAAAATTACTCACCAAAATCCTATTCAAATAATACATTTTATCGTCTCACTGATCCTTTGCAGATGCAGTCTATTAGTTCAGATAAAGAAGATATGGAAGAAGCTGAAATGGATCTTCCAGTGTCGTGTAGTTTTACTGATCAAGCTAAGCAACGTGAAATCCACCAGAGAAAAATTAATAAGACTATTATTGAAAATCGCATAAAAACCAAAGCACTCCGCAAAGCTAAGCGTAATGTACGCAAACAAACAGTAATGTTCAATGCGGTTTGTTATATTTTACTTTAGGACGGCTGCCAGTCTAGTGAAATAGCTTGCCAAGAAATCCAAGTAAGTCTTATGCGTTTTATGTAATAGTCTTTTGAAAATTAGTATATACCACTGAAGGATAAGGAAAAGTCAAATGTAAGGTTGTCACTTCCATCATATACATACGTATATTAAGGAAAAGGACTGTCTAGAAGAAGAATTTAACTGTCCGGGATATTTTAACACATCAGATCATCTTCAATTTAATGAAGACGATGGTGATCAACCTCCCATACAAAATAAATCTCAATCCTTGGACATATCAGCCAGCTCTTCACCGAACGAGAATGAACTACTATACGGCAACGGTAAGTTACTATCCCTGTACAATGATTGATTTTTAAGATGTGAACTTTTCAATTATGTTTGAGTCGCGTCATACAGTTTTCCTCAGACTCACCTCTTCTTATCTGTCAGAAACTTCAGTAGGATGAATCGCGTGCTAAAATACGTACCTAAAAGCGGTGTTAGATTGACAGTCATCACAAGAAACTACACTTCTAATCGTGTCTTGTCTTGGGTGTGTAACTCTGGATGATAATTGTTTATACCATGCCTTAATTTATATATGTTTAGCTTATTAGTATTCTAGCTAACGATATCATGTAGTATATCAATAACATTTTCATAATAGTACATTTGACGCAGTGTTTGCGGCAATACTTAAGACAAACAATCTCACTAGTACGTATTCTGTAAGGTTTAACAATTCGTCCTAGATTTCATTCCACCTAATGTAGCAATTTATAATGATCTTATTACCGTGACGTGCAAATATATCAACACTATTTTTATCCTCACACAATAGATACGTTTATTTTCATATTTGGTTACTCAATTCGTGGTAATAAGTAGTTAGTTTTGTTTCCGGTTGAGTTGTAGAGCAAAAACCAAATTCATGGATAGTAAATGTAATTCTCTGATAATTTTGTGCTCATGACTTGCATACAAACTCACCAGGAGATCTGGCAATATCTCCAGCAAACTGTTCCTATTATTAGCGACGTATTTTCGCTAAGACCATACTAGTGAGGTATACAATACTACGTGATTGACGTTTTCCAAGACTTTTAATGTGCATCTGGTTCCTCTTTTGTGTTTAGCTTCACACTTGTCTTTATCAGTTTGACCAAGGTCATTAAGAATACCGTTAGGTGTCTGTATAGGACACCCTGTAGCTAATTAGAATAAAAGTCGACAATACGATAATTCTATTAAGTTCATACCACTTGAAGTAAATAAACCTGAAGTCTGGTTCACCTATAATACAGCTTTATTACTAAGCCTCACGCAGTTAATAGGATATATATATTTCTGCTGGTAGTTACACTCTTCATAAAACTCACTTATTCATTTCAGAGTCCGATGAAGGGTATGATGGCAGTGAAGAGCACGATAAGAATAAATCAAAGACAATACTTTTTGACAATATTGATTCTTTTACAATGAACACCTTGAAATCCAAGGGATCTGATTTTGAAACACGAAATCACAAGTCATGGAAAAAAATAAACAGGTTGAATGGGATTCATGTCCGAATACTGGATAGCGCAAATATTGAAAACACGGCTCGTCAAAGATGTGACAGTTTTCGAAAAAACCAGTTGTATTCCTCTTCGTATTCCGGGAGGTATGGAGATGTTAAACGAGTCACACCAAGCTTACTGAGAAACTTATCAAGAAAGAAGAAAGCTAGAGCTGGAATGCGTTAACTATTTGACTAGAAGTCCTGTAAATATGATTTTTGTTTGTTCTGTCATTAATTTGGTAATCGCTCAATGACGCTATTCGACCTACTGCTTGTTTTTAGAGCAAAACTGTGTTTATGTAATATAAAGCGCGGTGATACTTGTATTTGAATTATTGCAGCAAACATCTCACTTTCTGAAAACGTCTAGTCACTTTTTTTTAGATGTGTAATCGTATTAATCATAGTGAGATCTTCATAAGCCCTATCCAGATAAAAGATCGAAATCCGCTTGCTGTGATGTTTCCACTCGAAATTCATCTCCCGCCTAACAACTGAGTTACTACCCAGTTGCTGTATGAAATTCAGTAAGTTTTGGTATGAGTTTCTTGGTGTATTAAGGTTACATTTATTCCTCGCTGGATTGTTCTTTATTAGCGGGTTCACAATTAACTGCTCATTTTACATAGGTGTTTGTATAACTGGCCCCCAAATACCCTGGTACGGCCGAGTGGGGAGAGTCCACTCTACCTCTCGAAATGCTCTCACATGGCCACGCGTATATAGCCTCTGCCAGGGAAGTCCTACTCATTGCCTTTTCGTGGCGGGGTTGTTTACCACATTGAGAGGACGAAAACCGAATGTCCGGCGCTTTAACCGGGTTGGTGGACACGGTGACTCCACCTAGGGGAGTTGGAAAACCCTGATTCCAAACCAATGGTGCACATGGGCTCCAGTATCCTGAAGGAACAAATGGCGTATGAACCAATCGTTGGTCACCGGCTTCCATGGGAATGCACCTCCTTACGTCCCCTAAGAAAACCAATTGCCTCGGTTTGGGCACCTGGGAAGTGTCACAGCCCTTACACATATCAAATGAGGTCTGTGTGGCGCATATGTATTTGCTGCCTCCTTGTACCAATATGTGTGTTAAAATAAATTTTAAAGTTCGTCTCCGCAAAGTGTTAAAACGTCCCTTACAAACTATTTACTGAGCTTAGTATAGTATCACGTATATATGTGTTCCCTTGTTAACCACTGACTCTTCTTGGATAAACTACAGTTTTCTCACTTTTAAGCCTGTATTTCTTTTGTTTGTCAAGCAACCGTAAGCTGACTTCATTTCTTACGAACCAGACTTGACGAAAAGCTCCCATTTTAATTTCAAACCTGAGCATAAAATGTAAAGTCATTTAGGTTTTCATTGAAGCCTTAATTGTAAGTGATAAAAATAGAGAGCAACAAAGAAGAAATGTGTTAAAGCAGACTTATAGTTTCGCTAAAATTGGTCATTTATGTGTAAATTTGCATGTAAAAATTTAAATTTATGCGACGAAAGTCTTGTTTTAAGCAAGCAAAACTCACTAGTTGGATGATAACATTACGTCAAATTGTTACACAGAAATGTATATATTTCAGCATGAAATGAACTAAATACTAATTGAGGAAGACTTTAAATCTCTCTTTTGGATATTTTAAATCCTAAGTAACAAATTACGGAGAGCTTTTGGGACTACTACTTATGAAACCTGACTGGGGGAAAGTGTAAGAGTAAGCATCATGTATGATAACCACTTAACGATCGATTCCATACACTGGATAGTCATAAGGAGTTTTTGGCATCGAGCAGAAAAGTTTTGCGAAGTAATTAACGAAGCTTGGTAACTGAAATATTCTTACCAAATAAATAGGTTTCTGTTACAGCGTGTACTTTTACTTCTAATCTATTTCTATATTCCGCGTCATGATACAAGAGAATAAAATATAACATGGATTTCAATTTATGTAAAAAAAATTAACAAAATTGGATCTGAAGGTCAATTTATTAACTCAAGTTGTGCGATCCAGGTTTTCTTGTAACCATTCATCCGAAAGTTCTTCCAGGTCTCTGAGCTCAAAAACCTAAGAGGTCAGATATGGTATGCTGAACCTTAATACTTACCTTCGTAACTCCGCTTTTATGCATCAGATTTGTAAGACTTGTGGTATACATCATCTTCAGGTTAGTAGCAGAACCTATAAAGTTTTTAATGATGTGTAGGCTTAAATCAATATTGTATCCAAACGGATAAACTATATATATAGTATCTTCAGGTCCTTTTAACTGACCCATCCTTTAGCATCACTGATCTCTAAAGCCCATAATAATGAGAGACAGCCACAAAAATTTAAAGCAAATATTTCTAGGGATCCCATGTGTGGTTGTAGTAAAGCAAGTGCTTCTTGAAGCCTGTCGGCACAATTGCAGCTCGACAAGACTAAGAACACTATCCCAAGATTTCTGCAGGTACACGGTGAAAGTGATTAAGTCTGAACGAATGTAGTATTCAGGATATGTGTTATGAACTCTGCTCTCCTTTACCCCAGTGTAATACTGGAATACCTGGATTACGTGTCCAGACCCCAGGACCGAGAGATAAATACATCTTAGTTATTCTTTGACAAGTTAGTTAGTAAAGTAGGCAATGAAGTAATTAGAATGATGCTTTGACACAAGTCGCATTTCTGACTCTGTAGAAGACAATTTAGTTTCCTACCCATAATCAATTAAGAACAATTAAAAAAACCGATTCGATACAATCACATACCCATCGGAGTTGAAAATAATAGACAGTATGGAAATGTTACTCGACCATCCTCCTTTTCATAACGGTAACTTAAAAGAATATATCTTGGTTGATGGTACGGTAAAGAATCTTTGAGTTTGTTAAGTGTAATATCCTAAATTGGGAAATTCTTTAATCATATAAAATAAACTGACTTCAAGTATTTGTTCTGGTTCGATTTTCAAAGCTTCTTTATCAATTTTCACTACAACATGATACTGATTAACACTTAATAAACAAGGGACAACATATGAGGGCAATTGTGTTCTGGGATTTTCGAAATTTGAACTTTTTTAGGTTATCTGCAGTATCTTCAGATATTTCAGCGACGCGGAGCTCAGACTGAAGTACTTAAGGCATTTGTAATAGCGAAAAATTACCATTGTGAATGTTCTGAAATTAAATAAACAATAAAAACAATGGTAAGTGCTCAGTTAGTCAGTAACAACGTAGAACTTCGTACGTACGTACATCAGTTCGAGTTGCCACACCACATTAGCACAAAGATGCAGTTGTCGATTAAAATCCCGTAGTGGTAGAGGCGGTAAGAGTATAAGCAGTAGTCGGAAAGATTAGGTTTGACGATGTTATTTAAAGAGTGCTAATATCCGGGAGAGTATTCTCTTTTTGTATCCTTCGGTACATACAAAGCTCACTGTATATAAACCAAAAACAAGTTGCACGCGAAGTTGAAATTGCTTTTACAATCGTCATCAGCATAAAGGCTTTTAGTGTTTGCACAAGAAAATGGAACCTTCACAGGCTTCTACTTTAAACAATATACGATATATATAAAGTCATTATTAGCCAACCCGGTGCTGTGATACATAGGTCTATCCCAGCCTGATACGATCACTGCATTTCAGTGCGCTTGTTTCAAGAACCTCTACTAACCCACATAGCGGATCCCAACATATATTCCACTAATGGGAACTCTGGATTATTAGTAGCCAAGTTAAGAAGTGGTAATTGTAAGTTGTTTCTAAGAAGTAATTCCTAAACTAACTGATTTATAAGGCGTCAGGAAACATTGTTTGGAAAACAGAAGTACTTATTTATAATCTTCAGACAGTCTAAAAAGGACGAAAGAGAATTGATATGAGAGAACTAGATACTACATTACAAAACGCTTCTTATGAGTTGTTGTACGCATAAAGAGCAGCTAAAGTAATCAGTTGTCGACTTAATCCAGTGAACAGATAATACTCTTCTGACACTAGTGTTGCATGTATGCCATTGACACCCCAAAGTGCCAAAAGGAAGTAGTAAAAAAAAGGAGTTTAGTGGGAGAGAAAGGAGGTGGGAATGTTGTGCTCTCCTACAATAATGTTCCTTTTGTTCGCGGCGTCTTCATTCATTTCGTCTATTTTCGTCATCTGTCAGTAGAGGTTGGGATTTATTTATTCGCAGAGTCAAACTATTCATTATCAATGGAAACCCTAACTTCGAATTATTTATTATTATTGTGTACGCTTTCCCTTGAAACACTACTCATATAGGTATGATTAAGGTGCAGCGTAAAAATTCGTTGTGGTTGGCCTTATCCCACAAAAGACCTGAAAATATGAACAAGCGTATCACACCTATAGTTAAGTCTATCGTATTGTGTTAAGCAAACAACCCAAGTTTTAAACAAAATGTCGCATCTTGTGTGACGTTTCTCTTTAAGAATCACGACGTTCATGGTTATTGAAGTAGCTTGGGACAAAGCTAGGAGAGACCAAATCATGACATGGCATCAATACGTGAAGACAATAACGGCTGAATTGAGTTATGTAGGGAGGTGCAGATTACCTAGTTAAGGTTCGTGCGAATTTAGTGATTAGTGGTTAGAAAGTGGGTAAATCTACTATCTATCTTCCCTTAAATCATAAGTTTACGAATTATATTACTACTTTTTTTGTTTTGCTGATCTTCATTTAGTTTTCGAGCCGTGTCTTCCACAACCATTCTTTTCTATTACCATATACACTGTTGCGAACACTACTCTCCTGTGATATAGGTTATCCCTTCTTTATTTAGTATCTTCAGTTCTTAAAAGTATTTTACCATCACCTCTGCACGTAAGTTTTAAGTGTTTAGAAATATATATTATCTCACCTCAGAGTGTACGGCGACTCCGCTGATGCCATTAAAAGTGATGTACATAATTTTGTTTTAAAAAATGAGTGGCGTTACGGTGTAAAACACATTTTGTATAACATCCATTTGTTGAATAACGATGCTAATGTTCTTCTACATGGGACTTTGGATTCATATTCAGTTTACCCTTTCGAGTTTTATAAGAGGCGGATAAAAAGGACAGTGTACTGCGGATAAGCTGCAGCCAAAAAGGCTTTCCAGCGTTGTACAAAAAAATCGTTAGTAGTAGGCTATAACTTAAAGTCTGCGTTGTTATAACTAAAATTAGTCACATAAGATTCTAAGAAACGTTATTCCTTGCAAAGATTCTTGATTCACCTCATTTAAGCCCAGTGATATGGTAATAGTTGAGGATAAGCTTGAAGAAATTTCAGATTTCTTGGATAATGCATCAACGGGTTTTAAACTCATAGGTCTTCTAACCAAAGCATTTCATTCTACTTGTATAGAAAATTATTGTCCGTGGTTAGTTATGAACACAAACACTATAGCTGGAATATCGTCTAAGCAAATTTTTGTAAGCCGCACAAATAATGAGGTGATTGATTCCCTCTTACGTATGTTTTTGTATGTTAATTTTGCATTTTCTCATAAATACACTAGAACATTGAGATTAAGAAACAACCCATTTTCAAACTTCTTAAGCCTGTAACTAGAAAAGTGTGTTGTAATTGTTTTGACTAATAAACAAGTATTTGGTGTAGCAGGCAGCCGGGTTGTCGGTAGATATTATGTATTAAGCCAAATAACTCAGTGGAAATTGAACTAACGAACACAGACGTCGATCCGGATGGGAACCGGTCGACTATTCAATCGATGGATCACAACTACTTTGGTGAGTTTCAAGCACAAGTTATTTTTAAAAACGATGATTTGTCTTGTTAGTAAGTTAACTTACTATTATTATCTTCATTTAACAAGGTAATCACAAACAACCCCGAAAAATTTAATGAGGAAAGCACTACTGAAGGGGAACTGGGTGATGTGGACACATATCTCCAACAAGACATAAGTTTGTTAGAAACACAAGGTTTTCGTCACATAAAAATTAAGCTGCATAACTGCTATCAAGAGAAAGACAATATCACTAATAGTCTACAATAAAAACTTTTCCTTCCCGTTATCTAGGTGCAGGGATCAATTTTAACGACTGCCAAGTCTCACTGTATGCTGTCACATTCTTAGAAGAAATTTTCAGAATACTTAAATAAACATAGTCTCACTTTGATGTTTCACTGAACAAAATCACACCCGTCACTGATAATGGGGATATGTGACTTCCCCGTGTGTTTTCGAAAATTTTCTCATACTATCCTTCGAATACTCCATTTGAATCTGCTGCTTTGTGACAATCGAGACATGCCTACAGGCATGTCAAATATTGATAAGAGCAAGTATTTCATTTAGAATTTTGGGGAACTTTTAGGGAAACTGCTGAAGTCAAATGACCTTCGCCAAGGTTAAAAGGGAATTTGGGGGGTTTTGTGCCATTTCCCCAAAATTTACTATAGCGGCTTCCCAAAATGTGCCACATTTTCCCCAAAATTGGCAGCTAAGGCGACGTTCTTAATCATCAGCTAAGTCCAAGAAAAGCGTAAAACTAACAAGTTAATGCTTATATTCCTTGCCAAATATCGATCGAAGACTGTCATATTTGTCAGTTACACCAGAATCATTGTCGTGTGCACACGACTGATACTTAAATGTCAGTGATACATATGTATCACTTCCCGTTTATATAAGCGGGAAGTAGACTATTTAGGGTGGATTTATGCAGAGATTAGACCGTCGATCTCGAGATACGTATCTCTAGGAGGACATTAAAACGGAACATAAGTGCTTACCACCGAAACCAAACACAACACAAATTGTCACTGTCACAGTTGTACCGTAAAAATCAAAATTAACACGGTCTACAGTTATTTATCTCCATATCAGTTAATTGAAATATCTTACAGATCTAATCATTTTTAGTTCAAGTAGAATTTTACTGACGCCTTAAAAGTTACATTTCTCCTATAGGATTCATTTCAATTTTTTGGAACGAACTGCATATGTTTTTTGTGAATAGCTACTGTAACGCATTTTAGTTTTCTGGGGTAAAAAAGCAACGAAAATTGAAGCTTAACTCTTGAATATAGTCTAAGCCAAAGTGCATGCTCTTGTATGTATATTTCATCCATCAAACTAATCCAAAGAGGTGACATCAGGATTGTGAGGCCAGTCTTGGAAACACTTAATCATTAATATCTTCTACAGATTCCTCTTGAGCCACTTTGCGTAATACGTCAGTTTATTTGAGGAACAAGACAAATTACTGAAGTTGGGTAAACGGGGATAATTTCGTAAAGGAAAATTAAAAAGACACATCAGTAGTTAATACGACCATGTAACAGTTTAAGATGTGACAAGTAGAATATGATGTAACACGACATATCGAAAACCCATCAGAATTTCCGAATCTTCATAGAAGCCCAGCTATTCATTTTTAGTCTAATAGATGTGTAGTTTGGTGGAATGTCAACGAGCCCTACCCAAATCTTCCACGCGCATCAGTTGGTTGCGTGCCATGGACTGACCTGTCCTGAAGTGGTCACAACCCCTCTACTGCACCTACTTTTACTAATGCATTTCTTCAATAATGTCCTTTGTGTCATACGGTGTTCAAAGCACACACTGCACATTGATACGACAAAAGGGTAATACACGTTAGGTGCTGACCGCGAGCTGTTGATCACACCATTCTCACCTAACTCGATTAGGTCTCCAATCATTCGACATAGATAATCTATGTTTGTGATCTACAGATGTCTCATTAAGCTTGCTGGATATAATATTGTTTATCTAAAAGTTATGGAACACGTACATGTCCTCGTAAGACCCATTATCGTTTGCTGAAGTGGAAATACTCTGAGAACTTCGTAAAAGACTCTTTGGGTTTTTGTTGAATGTCTGTTTCTTTGTATGTTTATTCTCATTTTAGATTAACCGCAACTATTATTATAACGTCCACAAATTCTGAATCCCTACTATTTCCCTTGATGATGTCACAGGTATTCAGTGTTTGACAACGCTTCTACCAGTAACACCCAATATATTTCGTTCCCACCCAGAGAAATCAAAAGACAGAGTCGAGGAGATCGGAAGAGTATATTTGGCGATGACCAATATATCGGAATTCTCTGATCTAATCTGGCTAGCGATTGCGGTTGATGTTGAGCACGGCGTTACCACACGTGATCTGGTGCGGATGCCTGACCGAGAGCCTTCAACTAGATGAGTTCACTAAAACATATGGTCAGCATCCAATGTCGAAAACTTACAGAGTTATTTATCTTGGGGATTTATTTACCGGTACAGATCACTCCCCCTCTAGTGGGGCAGTGACGACCCTAAGACGTGGCCAGCCAGAAGTTTAAACCCAACGAGTTTGTCGTTGGTAAACACTCTTCTGATAGCTTACTAAGTGTAGCAGCGTCTGGTCGTCTTTCCTTACTATATGGGACCGAGGTACAACATAGTTACAACGAAAATTTCGACTCCTCGTAAACGTCATCGTTCTTTTCCAGCCGTCCTGGAAAAGAAAAAAGAAAGTGTAAGTGCATGTCGAAATACACTCGTATGTGCGTAAAAACACAATGTCGGCGAAAAAATGGAAAATATACTCAAGCACACGTAATAGCGTTAAAAACAATAATTTTTGTTTTTTGTTTTAAATAAAAATATAAATACATAAGCATATTAAAATTGTCTTTTTTTTAAAAAAAATTATATATCGTAAAAAGAAAGATCGAGATAATATAAGATGTCGAGTAGTGCCTTACGTGCAGTAGTCGTTTAAATGTTCTGGAAATCTTACTCTTCTTCCAGAACGCGTCGTTTTAGGTTTATTTTCAGATACATTCGGAGTATCATCGGTAATGTTGGTTGTCGGTTGAGGAATTATGAGTGTAGGAGTCGTGCTGTGCGATTGTACCGAAGGAAAGTCGACGTGAATAGGATTTCCTTGTAAATACGCTGCTTTTAAGCGATCGATGCTGATGCTATCGTTTGTTCCGTTCTTGTCGACTATATAGTACTTCGGTTCGCGTTGAAGAACTTTGAAGGGTCCTTCGTATGCTGATTCGAATGGTTGTCGATGCGAGTCTCGACGAACGAAAACGTGTGTACTATATCGTAAGTCAGGTTGAACGAAAACATCGGTTGATTGTGGTCGAGTGGAAGCAGGTTTAACTGAACGCATTGCGTTTGTAAGCCTGTTCGTGTAGGAGGTTAGATCCATGTTCATTGAAGAGGACGAAGGATCCACGAATTCTCCTGGAAGTCGAAGTGTCATTCCATAAACGAGTTGAGCCGGAGTGTATCCAATGTCAGCTTTCACTGAATTGCGGATACCTAGTAAGACAAGTGGAAGAGCGTCGGTCCACTGTGAAACGTTTGCAGCTGATAGTGAAGCTTTTAGTTGTCGGTGAAAACGTTCTACCAACCCGTTTGCTTGTGGATGGTAGGCGGTTGTTCGGAAGCGAGTGATTCCTAAAAGTGTGGCCAGACGACGGAAAAGATCAGATTCAAACTGACGTCCGCGGTCTGTAGTGATAATAATAATAATAATAATATATTTCTGCATGTGCAGGTACACACCGTTTTTACAGGCATGATCTATAAATTACAACATTTGTTGGTTCGCAAAATGCTTCCCAACTTATTAAGTTTATAGTTGTTATAAAGTGAGATCGTAGAGCGCTTGCTGTAAACTATGACCTTGAGAGGACGCGTACGTTAAGTTTGCTCCAAACGTCAGAAGTTTCATAGCTGTGCTCTCAGAGCAAGATTCTGAAGGAGAAAAAAAAAGAAACAGAGGAGCAGCAAGGCACTTGGATATGAACGCCAAAGGTTGCTTAACATTGTGTAGTAGAACGGACAGAGGTATAATAAATTAGAATAAATTCATATTATGTCTTGTTAGAGTGAAGTGAAGTCAGAGGCTCCATATTAGAGAATGTACTAATAAAGAACAACGAGTAGTGATGTTTAACAAGTTGGAGTAAGCTCACATGAAGGAAGGGAAGTCAAGGTTGGTACAAGGGAAGCGTTTTATTAGAAGGGTGTATATATAGAGGGTGAAGTGTTAAGAATACTAGTGACTATATCTTTTATTGTCTTTTTTCTTTTCTTTTTTTGTCCATCCGATGTCAGCCACGCAATCCTAGTGTAAAAGTCCGAGTTAGCATGTTATAGGTTGTCTTAGTAGAATAGCTAATCCAGCATATTATTGGAAACATGAGTCTGAGTGGTGAGCGTAGGAAGACAATCTATATCTTAGATTGACTGTCTTATTCTCAATTATAAAGAGCCTGATACATACAAAATGTTCTGTCCCCACAAACACGGGTGGATTGAAGTTATCGCCCTCACCATCAATGCTTGCTGGTCAGTAACTCCACCCTCCCTCCTTTTGTGATGTTAGGCTCATTTAAGCTTATTTTTGTATATACGTCATACCTCACACAATCCTCTGTTTCACAACTTGTTGGAAAGCACTATTTCTATAAGTACCATTTTACAAGCTTATCAGGCAGTTACAAGCTGTGGACTGTGGGTAAAGCATCGATGCAGTGCCTCTGTTGACTATAGTATAAAGTATAGTTTGCCAAACAGAGTATAAGCGTTAAGAAGGGTATATTGTAGGATAGTTGTTTATTTAAGCAGGCGGAAAAAGTATAGAAGTATGAGTTGTGGATAAGGGAACGAGTAGAGAAATAATATTAATTGCTAGTCAACATTGTGTACAGAAGAGTAAAAAGTTAATATAGGATAAACAGGAAGGAACTCACAGTAACTTGGTGCTGATGTTATTTTCTGTTGTCTTAACCAGTTGATTGGTAACAGGTTCCATAGATGCAAGACCACTGGTAGTAGGCAGCCGATTGTCGGGTCCTCTTGACTTTTTAGGGTGGTAGTGATTGTCCCTTATCGACCGAGTTTAGTTTGACAGTAATGATAGGTCCAGTGAGTTACCTGTCTACTTCAAGTGAAGAAATGGGGTGGAAAAAGTAATTAATACAACTGCAAAGTAGGAAAAATAAGGCAAACTGAACTTGAAGTCCATTTTGGTCTAGACATGGAGAGAGCCTATGATGTCTGAGTGGGGTGCAGATGTGTTCGTACGTGCAAGATCAGTGCGAGTGAGGGCTTGATCAAGCAGTTTCACAAACGTATGTAGTTCATCTGCCGTGCGAGTCTCGGAAGGAAGACTGTTCCATATTATTGCATACTTGGTGAGGAAGAAGTTTTCCCGAGTTTTTGATCTGTATTTCTCAACTTTGACCGTAGATACTTTGTTTCGAAGTTTGTATTCATGTGAATCTCGGGCAAGAATTATCTGACATGTTGAGTAAGTAAGGTTTTTGAGTAGTTTGAAGTAGAGAATCAAATTAGACCTAAGCCTTCTCTCCCAAAGGGGTGCTATTCCTAAGATTTGGCATCGAGAACTGTAGTCAATGACCGAGCCAGTCTTAAGTATTTTGCGGGTGAAGTCTCGTTGTATTCCTTCCACCTTTAGTATATCAGATAGACGTAGGTTGGAAAATAAGAACGAGCAGTATTCAACGATAGGTCTTACACAAACTTTATAAAGAAGGATTTTAGATTCATTTTGATAGAAATTACGGAGAATGAAGCCAAGCAATTTCCGCATTTTGGATGCTTTGGCTGAGATGTGTTCAGAGAAATTAAGACTGTGTGAATAATGTACCCCTAGGTCAGTTACTGATGCCAGTCTGGGGAGTGCGTGATCGCTAATTGTTAGTTTCATTTTAAGAGACGTGTCTCCTATACATAACCAGCCGCATTTCTCTATGTTGAGCTCTAACCTCCAGCGTTTGCACCAGTCATCTACCATGTTGAGTTCATGTTGGATTGTTTGCATAGTACTGCGTAAATCGCAAATGTCAGTTTTATAGATGACTTTTAAGTCATCGGCATAGAGGTAGGTCTTACCTGTGCTGAAACACCTGCATATATT